GTAACGCATCTTCCTCTCCTTGGACCTTGCAGCAGATTGCCTGTTGGCCCAAATCCTACAGATGGAACAGAAATGAACATGTCTGACGTCAATCTAAAATAAATAAAACAATGGATATGTCTCCTCTCTCTTTTTTGATAGAAGGAAACCAAACAAGAGGGATGAAAGAGGAGAGAGATGAGTCCTTTGCAGCGGGGGAATTCAAGACCATTTTTTATCCAAGCAGAAAACTTCATTTGAGCTTAACAAAAACTCCATGCTATCTGTATAATAAACTATTCCTAAAAGAAGTCCTGTATATGCCAGGTATGTTCACTACAATAAGTACCTTATGAACAGTGAGTGCAATTAAATTCTGTGCTTCATAAGACTATTTTTATGGAGCCAATAACAAACTCAAAGATGTCCCATAACAAAATGTTTCAAAAACATTAAATTTCATGGAACGGGCACGAATATTTAATTTCACGCGAAATAGACATGATATAGCTACTACTGAAATTAGCATCATGAGTAATCCCATAACTTAACAAACCACACCTTGAAAAATAGAAAAATTTAAGAGAATGAGAGATGGGATACCTTTTTGCACGCTTGGGATCTATAAGCGCAAGTTCAGCTAGCTTCGCAGCAGATACAGCTTTCTTAGAATCTGCAGGAGAGGCCTCTTCAGAACCTGACATGAGCATCTCCGGCTTGATAGTTGTTGAGCCATCCATTGACTGGCTATGTTGATGCCTAACTCTAGGCCTTTCACTTGGACCAGCACCCAAATTCACTGTTGCAGACAGTGGTGCCATTGCTTGTGCTGCCATTGCTGGAGCCAAAGACTCCCCAACTTGAAAAGAAGATGTGGCCGAGGACGAATTGAACTTATCCATATCAAGGTACATTGACAACAAATCTTCCTCAGTTTCATCAGAAAAAGTTGGCCCATCAGCACCACCACCCACGACACCAAGATCACTATCAAAGCTAATATCATCAGGGAGAGTGAGGATCTCAGAATGGGCCCGACGGTGGCCCAAATTCTTTGGTGGGTTATCAGGCATTCGGCTGATATCATGACTAAATCGGTTAGAATCCGATCCATGACCGAAATGATTAGGGTCTGAACTACTACCGGGAGCCATTGGAGGATATGTGGAAGGTGATTGCTCAGGTTTCAAATTAAAGGAGCTCCCAGAGGGTGAAAAACTAGAGTACCTGCCTGGAGGTGGTGGTAAACCACTACTATGGTGGCTAGCAGATTTATCCTTATCCATCTTAATAAATCACAAAAACCCCAAAACCCTAATCAAACTTTTGGGCAGCTAGTTCAATAACTCGAGAAGGCACAAACAAATAGTCCACAAAATGAAGATTTTGCACGCAACAAAAAGGGAAATGCCAAAAATTCTTGATTTTGAAGCTTCATGACATTCAAACACCTAAGAGAACACAACCAAACCCTAATAAACACCCATATTACACTTCAAAACAAAAGTTTATCCACTCTAATTCCCACAAAACACTACAAACTAAGGACACGCAAACAAAAAACCTAATAAAGTATCAAACTTGACACAAAGTCTCTAACTTTATACATAACAACAACAAACCCTGTAAAAATGAGAGAGATCTGATTAACACAAGAGAGAGAGAGAGAGAGATTCGACAAAACAGGAAGGGAATGTTAAACGCAATGAAAAGCAAGCAAACCCAAGAAATCAGACAGCTGAAAGCTCCTTGGGATTAGTGAGACAAATTTCCAGGGAAAATCTGATAACTTTCAAGGAAAATATTTCAGACATGAATTCTCTCTCCCATGGAGATTTTGGGGGCTTTTAGATCTTCTAATTCTAATTTTAAAAACAAAAACCAAAAGGGTTAAAAGGTCAAAAACAAAAGGAGAATCCTTCCTATTCAACTCCCGTCACATGCTCTCACCATACCTTTCGTGTATACATACATGTACAGTATTTTATATATATATAGATAGATATAGTGGCGGAGCCACAGTGGGGATTAAGGGGGCAGTTGCCCCCTTAATACTTTTTTTTAAATATATTTTATATTAAAATTTTAATATAATAATTTAATAAGTTTTTTTTAATTATTGTTTTTATATCTTTTTCTTCAATAATGTAAATTATTAATTTATTAAATAAATAATTTTTTATATTTTATACTTAATGCTTTAGGTGAATTTCATTCATTTTTTCTATTCATTTCATTGTTTAATTTTAATTTTGTTCCTTAATAATATGATAATTTATGGGTTTGTTAAATTAATATGTTTATATATAATATTATATGTATATAAATATGAATTAAAATGAATTTTAATGAAATAATATATATTTTTTTATAAATTATATATAAAAAAATAATGGTGATTAACATACTAGTGATTACAAATAAAATACTAAACAACTAAAAAAATTAGATATATAATAAAAAAAATATATTTATATTTATATTTAACCTACTTGTGTAAAATAACAAATTAACAAAGAATTGTTACCAATAATTTCACTAGTCTTTACTAGATTTAGAAATAGATAAATAAAAGATTCATTGTATATATTAAGAAAGAATATCTTTAATAAAATTAATAATGAAGTCATTGTTAAGGAATTTTAAAATATAAAAATTTTAAAAAATAATTATAATATAAATTTTTTATTTTAAAAATATTCTTAAATTAATTTTACTTGATATGAGTTAATATATAAAGTTCAAATTGATTTATCTATATAAAATATATTTCTATATAATATATAATATTAAGTATTTATAATTTCCTTTATTTAAATTTTTTTAGTTTCATCACTGTAAATAAATATATATATATATATATATATATATATATATATATATATATATTGTAAATGTAGCCATCATAATTATTGAGCTTTGCCCGTTAGTCAATCCATTATAAAATTCCAGTCATGAATATGAATTGAGAGGGTTACTCTAAAAAAACTAAACAATTCTTTCTTTTAATATATATATATATATATATATTGAATTTAAAAAATATATAAATATTCCATGTATATATCTATATAACACAAACATATATCTTAGGTTAAGTTTTAAATTGAATTTGACAATATTTATAGTTTTCCCATTACTCATTGAATAAAATAATTATTTAAAAAAAAACTCTACTCATTAAATTAAGTTATTATCTATCATATTCAGATTAAAATTAAAATCTATTATTATAAACTACTAAGTTTGCTCATATTCAAAGTTTTAAGGGAGAGTGGAAGACAGCTAGGAATAAGTAATTTATTTAAAAGAAATTTTTTTAAAAAAGTGAAAATATACAAAACACGATATTTTTATTCTTATAATAATTGCTTAATTTTTTAGATAACAATGAACTATATTAAAATATATTGTTATTTAAATTGTAGATAAATAAGTTCTGGAAGTAGTAATGTTTTACAGCATTTTGACCTTTCAAGATCATCTAAATCTATAAAAATATTTTAAATAAGTTTATATAAAAGTTTTAGTATAAAGATCTCGAAGATAATTATTTTATCATGTTCTTATAAACATCATGAAGAAAGTTTAATAAATACTTCCATCATTATTCAATTAATATTTTGTAATTTGTTTTAAAATATTACCATCATGTTATAAATATCATTTTATATAATATTATATCACGAGAAAAACTGATTTTGAGCTATTTATTTATATTGTTAGAAACATTTTAAATAATAAATAAATTGAAAAGATGTCATTAATCATTGAAACTGGTGGATATTATAATTCAATTTGTAGAATTCATCCAGTTTTTTTATAATTTTTTGAGAAACCTTTTGTTTAGAATAATTTTTTTTCATGTTTGCTCTCTCCATTCTTTTCTTGAAATATTAATTTTTGAAATAATATATCCAGCTATGTTTATATATTGGTATTATTCTGTATAATAGTTTTTTTAAAAAAATACGATTTACACCAATATACCTTTGCGTATTTATATATATTACCTTATATTATTCTTTGACAAAAAAAACCTCTATAAAACCAAAAGAAAAATTAATTTCAAGGCCCTAATAAAACTTCAAAAAACCTAAAAAATTAAAAAATCTTGAAAAGTAAAACTTGAAATATCCTAAAATAATGATATATAAAGTAACACTTAGTTTTTTATTTTTCATGTTTTAAAAAGGGTAGAATTCACTCTAAAATTATTATATGAATAAATTTAATTTTAGATCTTAATTTTTGTGTTTTCTGTATTTATCTTTTTTGTACTGAAATATTAATTAAATTTAATTTAAAAGGGAAGATTTCTTAGGAGAGCACATGGGAGAATAAGTTGAAAGGCACCTTCTAATGGTATGTTTGTGACAGTTGCACGTGCCATCCATGGAAGGTTCTATCTTTGTGGTTACTTTCGAATTTCTAGAAGCCAAATTCCATGTGAGAAGAAGACTAGGATGTTTCAGACCCCCTTTTTCTACACTTTCAACTGTTTTTAAAAAGATAAAATTAAATAATAAAATGGAAAAAATTAAAATAATTCACACCACACAGTCAGGAGAATCTATAGACTTTTTTCGGTACTGTAATACAACTATGCTTTTAAAAAAAAATAATGATTTTTTTAAGAATATTTTAAATTAATATTTTAAATTGTTTTGATAGGCTAATTGTTAAAAAAAAATTAGAAAATATTATTTTAATATATTTTTAAATAAAAAATACTTTAAAGATCATTTTAAAAAAAATATTCTTGCATGTGGAGGGGAGTTGTTCACAGTCAAAGATATTAAGTGGTAGTTTTGCCTTGTAAGATACGTTAATTATATTAAATTATTGAATAAAAATAAACCCATCCTGTTTTTCTTTGCAAGCATGCCGCGACTTTTGAATAAATTAATTTTATTTTTTGTTATTTTAATGTAATGACATCAAAAATAATATATATATATATATATATATTATTTTAATAAATTTTCAAATAAAAAAACACTTTAAAAAAATTATCCCAACATCGAACACCACCACAGAATTTTAAAGTAACATTTACTACAGTTCTTGAGAGACTCCAATGGAGTTTTAGAATATTTATCCAAATAACATTCCCTCCATAAACCTTACATAAGATGAGGAAAGGTGTGTCGTTTCATGTACCCTCACCATCTTATTCTGTTCATGTTAAGAGATCCTACTGGCACCTTGACCACCCAACACTCCAAAACCAAGGACTGTCTCCCTGTCTTCTTATAGAAGAAACAGAAGGCCCGAGCTACCAAAGTGGAACCCGCAAGGAAGATGAAGTCAACTCCATTGGCAGATAGAAGAAACAGATGGCCCGAGCTACCAAGGGGGGTCCTGCAAGGAAGAAGTAAACTCCATCGGAGAAATTCTAGTGCAATGACAAAAACACTACAGAAATAATCCTACTCAATGTGACTCACATAGTGATGCTCTTTGCCTGTTGCTTCCTCGTGGAAAGGATCTCTAAGATACAATAAACCCAAGGAATAGGCCCTAACCCCAATTAAAAGCAAGCTCAAGAAATACTACCACGAAGGCATGTAGTGCTAGAACACCCAACAACTTCTCACGTACTTTGGCAACTACCATTTCTGCAAATTATTTGCAAAAAAAATAGCTGCGAAGGCACATCAAAGTTGTTAGGAGCTCTAATACTACATTCATATTTTTCAGCCAGCTCTCCAGCAAGGCTAGGAACAATTACCTGGGTTTACTGTCAGAAATCCTTCCGATAAGGCAACAGGCATCATTGTAGGAGCCGCAGCGAGGAAGATTATTTTTGCAGTGATTACCAGTTCTTTTGTTAAGATTATTTTTGCTATAGTATTTTTGTTATTGCGCCACAGTTGCTCAAATGGAGTTAGCTTTTTCCTCCTTGCGGGCTCCACGTTGGTAGTTTGGGTCTTCTATTTCTTCTATTTGCAAAAAACAGAAGTTTGGAAGACATGGAGACACTTTTTAGCTAAAGTTTCTGCTTCTAGATGTTGTTTTGAACTGGGATTTTGGTTTTGGAGTTGTGTAATGAAATGTGTTTTCCCGGCAGAAAATGCAATAAGGTCTTTTTCAAGACGCCGGGACTTTGTTACATTTATTAACAAGGAAACTCTTGTTCTTTATTGAGGACTTTCAACCTGGTGAACTGAACGATCATCAGAAAATGTAGTCTGGCAGTTGGAGGGGAAACTGGGCAACTTCAGCTTCAAATGGCCTTCCTTTTGGATCTGTCAATCTTGAGAAACCAAAACGAAAATAGAATTAAAAACGAAGAAACAAAAAGAAAATAGAATTACAAACAAGGAAACAAAGCAGCATAGTTTTGCATTAGAAACTAGTGCAAGAAAGATGTGATTATTGTTGCTAATATTATTGTCAGACAGCAGTTTTCAAATTTCTTGTTCAATGATTAAACTAAGATAAGCAGTGTTCAAATTTCCTGTTCAATGACAAAAACCCCAATAAATAGGTTTTAGCAATCACAAGGCTACAAAAATTCAAAAGACTTCACTTCCATGCCACTGCAAACATGAATCAAGCATAACGACATGCAAGTTTTGGTAGGCACGGCCTGGAGTGCTTCAACAGATACATTTTATGATAATTATCTCTACCAGATTCTGGTATATGAGATTTAAGTGTTTCTGTCATGTGAGAACTCAAAAATCAATAGTGTGGCACATCCACATAGCAATAGAATGTCATTATAAAAAGAAAGCAGGTCATTTTTGCAAGACCATCTCAGATACAAGTAGGATTTACAATCCCTGCTCCCGTAAAGATTTGAAAGCAATGTAACTCAGAGGATATCATGGATCCATGCAGAATACCTGCCAGGGACAAATGTGAAAGAACCTTTAACAGAGCCAGTAGGATATCGCAGAGGTGTGCAACTCTCATAAACAAATTCTTTCTCACCTGGAAGTAAGAGTGGGAACTGCAAGCATAAACGATAAGTCTGAGATTCTGCACATTTTCCAAACATGAAACAATGCATCATGGTGTGGGTTTATAAATTTAACATACAGCAAACAAGTTACTAAATTCACTTTTTTTCCCTTTCAAAAATTGCTTCATATGTAGTAGGCACAGAGAAGTTCTTTTATGGCATGATTGTCACTGTGAATTCCCAGTTCACAGCATATTATCTATGGAGATCAGTTACCTAGAAATCAAACTCGCAAATGGGCAGAGTCAGAAAATACCAAGGGGAACTACAGCAGTTCCTATTTTTTCCCTTCCTTGTTTGGACAAGAAGTGGCAACAGTACAGTATGATTTTTCCATTACCTAAAGCTCATGTTGATTAAATCCAAGTAAACAAAATATTATCATGCCTTCATCTCTTTTCTGGAGTTTGGCTGTCCAGGTAGATACTACAATGGCTAATCCATGTTCAGCACAAAATCCATTAGATTCAGAAAGGAACCGTGCGCTCTCCCCAGAAGCTTTCTTAAATCAAGGGAAACTAAGCATTACATAAATTCAAATCATCGACTTTTTCACCAGTAGGCCCTTTTAGAAGCTCCCAACTGTTGCATCTAGAAAGCCACACAGGTGGACCTTGAGAAGTCTATGAACAAAGTGGAAAGATAAGGGAAAAAAAGATTGATCAAGCGCAGTCCAAACTCCAAATATGTACCCAAGAAACAAAAATAAAAATCTCATTCGAAGCAAGTTAGCAATATCAACCCGAGAAATTCTTAAGTCATACCTTGCCTATCACAGCCTCTGCGTTGATATTGGATACAACAGTATCATTGGCACTGATAACCCAGTGCCTCAAATGCAGTTGGCAAGAGTTGAAGTGCATTCCATTGATGATGCATCCTTCTGGTGGAAGGGACATGCGGATTGAATAAGCAAACAAGTATTTTCTAGAGATATCTAGCAGATCAACAGCCTCTGGCACAAAAATAGCAGAAGCGCGAACCTGGAAACAATTAAAAGCTCTTTTGATCTGAAACAGAACTATTTATTTAAGGAATAAAAGAAAATGTACACAAGTATGAAAGAAATGTAAAATTTTCTCATATTTCTTGCAAAAGTGATAATGATAGTCATAATTCCAGTAGGGGAGACAGTGGATGCAAACAAAAATTGCAATAGTAATATGTTAACAAAGAGAGGTATGAATAAACATATTGCGAAAGAGCCAAAAACATGTTTGTTAGTTATTACTTTGGAAATAAACACATGATATTAAGTAGTACATTCCAAATAAATTTGACAACCATGTATTTTCGACAAACCTTGCTGCACAAGGAACAAAAAAAATCCCATCCCAAGCCTGAAGAGCAGGAGAAAAGAAAAAAATAAACGCCCTAATATAAAAATTTGCGTGCATGGCCATATTCAATTGCTTACCTTTACACCACTGGTTACAGCAGTTGAGCAGAGAGGAGATTCTTCTGGAAAAAGAGAGAGACTTTTGATATTTCCTTCATCCCGAAGTTTGATCATGCCATTCTGCAAGCGATGGCCATGTTCTTCTAACCATAACAGCATAGCATCCTGTTGTTGGTCAACGTTGAAATCATGGACTGGACTAATTAATGCCTGAGGTACACATGGGATCATTTCTCCAATTGTCAGAAGATTCTGAGTCCCAACATAAAGTTGGCCATCAGAACAGTTCAGGAAGAAAAACTTTCCATTGTATGAGGATGAGGCAGCCACAACAATAAACTGTGATCCATTGGGTAAGTCCAGGTGGCGTGCTATCTCCTGTGTTTCCAAGATCACCTCGCGTAGGGGTAATAAGTAGACATTAACCAAGTGATCATAAAAACAGTAGCCACCTATCAGGCCCAATAGACAGTCAGCCACATCTGTGTTCAAATTTTCACCTGTTAAGTTTTGACCATCATGAAAGCGGTAGAGAAGTCTCGTGGGAAGAGGCAGCTTAACTTTCAAAATTCTTTCAAACTCTTGAATCTCATCTTCTGATGCACCCCTTCCAAGAGTAGCCTTAACTTCAGGAAAGTTTGTGCCCAACCAGCTCTTCAGTCTGTCCCAACAACTTTTAACTCGCTTTACAAGGGACCATGGATACATGCAAAATGCTTCTCTCCATAATTTATAAGTTGCCTGGAGAGAGAAAGAGAGTGTAAACATGTATGATGCAATAGGATGATTCCAACATACGAGCCAAAATTAACGAACAAGGCATTAGTACAGGCTACAACTTACGGGTTAGGGCCATCAACTAGAGTCCAAAATTAACGAACAAGGCATTAGTACAAGCTACAACTTACGGGTTCGGGCCATCAACTAGAGACCCTCTTTCAGTAATCTCTATCCAGGGATTTACATGAATGACACACAAAGTCCACTAAATTCTTCTAAAAGCAAATGAACCTAACATACCCAATAGAACTTTGAAAAAATGCACACATGTTGAAAAGTTTCAGCTTTTCAACTCGATGAAAGTAAAGCTGGACGCCATCCCACCCAATTTATCATATTTTGAGATCAACAAGTGATTCTCATAAGAATTAACAAAAAAAACCATATTTCCGTTTTGTTTGTATACATGTCAACAAAGATATCAGCCACAAAAGCAAATGCACAAGACAAAGCACATGATTGATTACCATTCCAAATTCCACATCTTGACAAGCAATCTAGTACAAACAACACTACAAAGCTTCAAACTTTTTTTTCGAGCAAAAAAAAGACCCAGAAAATAAAAATCATTAACAAAAGCAAACAAACAAGCTACAAGTCCCGGGGGCAAATCAATGAATTGATTCCAATTCCAAATGCCAAATTTTGACAAACACTTCAGTACAACCAACACCCTATAAAGTTCCAAACTTCAACAAATTTCTTCAACAGCAAGAACTAACTGTAAGGTTCCAAACTTTACCAAATGTTCATCATATATAGAAAAACTAATAAGAACCCAGAAAGCAAAAATGATTGGATGTATTGTCTATTATCTTAAAAGAGGGTAAAGGGTTTCCATGATGGTCAAGAGGGGCAGATAGATCTAGATCTTTAAGGCAAAATAATGACCAGAGAGATTCCTCAGAGGCTAAATCCTTGAACCTCTTGCTAACAGATGATACTTTTGCTGTCTCTTTTGGACCCAATTTTGTTAAGATTATGTTGAGAGCTAAATCTCCCACTGAATCCAAACCCATGTCTCTGTGTGTTCTAAATTCTGTGTAGGTTTCTCTTGCTTATTAAGATGTGTTCTGCTTTTAGTTTCTTGGTTTTGTTTGTTTGTTGTCTCATCGTCTGCAGATAGAAGAGGCCGATAACTTAATTGATTTTGTGTTTTAATTTTTTTTTTAATTTTAAATTATTATTTTATATTATTTTAACTTTTAAGATATTAAAAATAAATTTTAAAAAATAAAAAATATATCATTCTAATATATTTTTAAATAAAAAATATTTTAAAAAATAATTATTAACATAATATATCACAACTCTAAAATTAATGACAAAAACTAATGCATGTGTAAACCCCCTATCTAAAATTAATAAATCAAAAATAAAAAAAAAATTATTAGAAAATGATTATTAACAAGAAACATTATTTAACATAGGGATAATAAACTTTTAGAAATTTAACTTAAATTATGATAATAATAAAATAATAAATTGATACGGAAAATGTCAATCTAGCGATGAATAACATAAATTCTCTAGTTGGGTAAAATCATTATTATCTAAGAAAAAAAATTTATGTATTAAGAAGAAGAAAAGGTGATACAACAACAATAATAATGATAAAGTGAGATTCTAAGAAAAAAAATAATGAATAATTTTATACGTAAAAACATTTATTATTCATATAAACTACGTGTACAATGGTGTTATTTTGACTGAGAGTGGTGAAAATTTTGAATGAATTATTATGATAGCTATAGATAGGAGTCATCAATTAATTAGATTAAAAATAACAATGTTATGAGTAAATGAAATGATGCTTAAAATTTAGATTTTTATAGTACAATTATCTAATGATTAGTTTTATAATATTAATTATATCTCTCAATCTAATTGTTGGATCGAGTTAAAATTTTACAATTAGTCATTTGAAATATTATTCTACTTTAAATTAAATATTCAATTTAATCAAAATATGGGAAGGATCATGAAAATACCGACAAACAGAAATTTAATAAAAAGGAATATACAGATATTTATAGAGTGCATTGTGATTTTCATGTATTGCGATAAAAATATATATGAAGCCAAAAAATAAAAATGATTTGAAAAGATAAATGTGCCCTTGTATGCATTATTACGGATATTAATGATTGGGGACATTGTAATCTTTTTCATATATATAAGAAGAGAAGACAACAGATATTGGAGAGAAAATTGTAAATGAGAGGATAAGAAAGAGGGAGGAGGTGAAAAAGAGAGAGATGGGGAAAGAAATGAAGATAAAGTTGAGACATGGACGATAAAGGAGGTAAGTTGGATGATAAAGGAGTTATGTGTTAAGGCAAAAGTGAGTGTTGATATGTATTATAAATATGATGTTGATTTTGTCGGGGTTAATAAAGATTCGAGGTTTTTGTTGTTAAAATTAATTGGTGATTGTTTTGAATAATGGTTTGATTAATTGATTTAAGTGGATTGTCAAAAAATAATTGTTTGAGATTGAATTTAATTAATTAATATATTTTTAGTAAGTCATCTTATGACTTGTGAAGAAACATTTATGGAAAAAAGAAATTGGATTTGAGTTTAAAAATGATTAAATTTTATTTTGATTCTTGATTTATAAAATTTACAGTCTAATCTTTAAAAGTTTAAGAAATTATGATTTTAACTTTTAAACTTATTTTAAAATTTTAAATAGAACTGATTATGGGATTAAATATAATGAAATTTAGTTTAGTCATTGATTTATAATATTTTTCACTATAATCATTTATTTTTCTTAATATGACTTGACTATAAATTTAGAAAAATTGTAATTTGATCCTTGGTTATATGAGATAGTTTTTAAGATGTTTCCCAACAAGAAATTTAGACTTATTAATGGTGGATTATTAAGATTTAATTAGTTTGTATTTGAAATTGATTCAATATCAGGTTTGTATATTCTTTAGGTAAAGCATGAATTGAGTTAATTAGACACCATGTGTCTAATAAATTGTGTAAATGTTTATAAATTAATTTGTGATGTGTTGGACCATTTTTTTTGTGTATTTTTAAAGATTTACTATGTATAATTGTTGCTGGAAATTATGTAAATTGTATGTGATGAGTGAATTAAGATGTAAATGTGATTAGAATCATCGTAAATTAATTTATGATATGTAGAACCATTTGTAGATGTGTTTTGAAAGGTTATAAATACGTGGGAATTTGTGTTCTTGAATTTATTTAAATTATATAATTTTCATTGTAAATTACAATGTGTGGGATTATTGTGGTTATGTTTTGAAAGATTGAATATATATATTTCTTACTTGAGGAATGGTTTAAATGAATTACACATCATGTATTGGATAAATCATGGGGATGATTATAAGTTAATTTCGATGAGAAAAAAATAATTATTATATTTTAGAGAGATTGTGCATATATCATTTTTATGTAAGAAATGATTTGATATGATTGTATTTGAAGTTTTCGAAGATAAGTGTGTAAAGTGAAATATTTAATAAAGAAAAATTTTAAAAGATGACTAAAGTTTACTTGGCTAAAATTATGAATATAATAAAAGAAAATATAAGCTTGAATAGGGTATCATGGACTATATCAAACTTGGCTTTAATTGTCATGTGGAATTCATCAATAAAAAAATTAAACCATTTAAAAATTAAAAAGCATTGATGAAAAATTAAGTCAATTCAACATTAAAAATCATTAATGAAAAATAGAGGCATTCAAATATTTAATATCAATGTAAAAAGATGTTGATTAGTTAAATTGAAATGATAAACAAAAGACAAATTGTATTCATAAATTTGTTTACAAAAGTATTCGATTATGTAAATTAATGAATATGATAAATGAACTAAAAATGTTTAAATATTGATTCAGATTGCTTTATTGAAATATAGGAAAAGTATTCGGAGTGGAATCTAATTTCTCATAAGTATGCATTGTAGTATTTTCAAGATAAGAGATTAACCATATCTTATCTTTTTAATTATTTATGCATGCTTTTATAATTGTTAGATTACAATAATAATTAAATTATATAGTGTATTATTGTTGTTATTATTAATGAAACGTGCATGATTTCAAGGTAGAAATTGGTATGCAATTTATAATTAATCAGATAGGTGCTAATGTATAGTATATTACAAGAAGTTATGTACCACAATGAAAAAAAAAATCCTTACATGTATGATTTATCACCAATTGAAATAATGAAAATTATGTATAATTCATATTAGACTATCATTGTAGAAATTAATGTTTATATATATATATATATATATATATATATATATTGTGTGTTTGAAGACAATTTTAAAATAACTTATGTGTGAAATAGTTGACAAGTTAACATATATTTTATAGGAAAGATGAATGACACCTTGATACTTTATTTAACAAATTTATTATGTTAAGTAATGATGATATATTTTTATTTTTTATATTAATATGTGTGAAACTAGTCATTTTAATTAATGAAACTAATACTTTAGTTAGTTAATGGGCTATCAAAGTTACCTTGATTCATGAAATTAGTTCATTTGTAAATAGACAATTAGAGAAACCTATTAATTTACCTATTAATTTAATAATGGAACAAGCACCCGGTTTGGACTAGAGAGGATATCAATATGTTTTTAAATTGTGTTAATTGTACTAATTTATAAAATTAATGGTAAAATAAAAAATTAATTATTGTAAATATATAAAAGAGATGATAACAAATATTCATTGTGTATAAAGCTCATTATATTTGATATTAAATAAATTTTCAGGCACCTTATAACATTGTATCAAGTAGTATATCACGTAATTAGTATTTACAATAACATGTAATGAAGCAAGGTGTATATAAGTTTAGTTATGCTAACATGTTAATAATTGAGTATTTAATTAATTATACTAATAAATTTTAATGAAAAAGAAGAAGATGATTTTAGCATTTCTTACAAGTATAAAAGTAATAAAATGTTATATAATAAATTATAAATAATAAAAATGGATGTAGAATAAGTTGAATAAATGAATCAAAGAAATTTTTTCATATAACAATGATGTTATATGGATTGAAGTACGATATATTATAAAATATAAAAAAATATTTGAAAAGTAAAAAAGTGATATGAATTAAATATGTTATAAATTAAATAATGATGTAAATAATACATGTTTATACAATGAGTTACGATACGTGTTAAAGGTGGTCAAGAGAGAAACATTATATGATTTATATATGTTAAGAAAATAATTTGGGAGGGGGTAAAATCCATGAGTTGTGAAATAATATTGTCAATATAAATTGAATACATTCCTTAAATGAAAATATTTATGAAAACACCTTGATGTGAAAAAGAATATTGTATAAAAGTGTTTGAATAAAACTAATCAATTTTAAAATTGTAATAAATAAATCATATAGTAATGAGTTAAACTAGATTATGAATAAAACAGTTACCATGATGTAAGGATGATAAGGTGATGAATAAAATGATGAGAATTTTTATTATTATTATTATTAATAAACAATGAAAAATGTTGAAAATTGATATAAAATCAATGTTTTTTTTTAAAATTATAAAATTAATTTTGATCATATAATTATTAAATGTTAGTAATTAAAATTATGCAAATATTTAATAAGATTTATTTTGTAATTTTGTATATGTTCTAGGTAATTTCGTTTGAGGATATCCATTTCTTTGGGCCACTAAACTATTTAGTATTATATATAAAAAATATATTTATATTTTAAAAAAACTTATAAATAATTAACATGGATGAAAATTTTAAGAAAAATTATAATAAATTATGTACTTTTATAAAACTATTGAAAAGTTATTAAGACTTTTTTTACCTGATTCAATCATTAAAATTAAGTAAAAATACATATGAAAGTACATGGTATTAATTTTTATATTAATAAATTAAAATTATTCAAAAATATTTTTTTCTTAATAACAACTCATCCTTTTTTCCTCCCAACCTAACCACCCAAAACCTCACAAATCATTCTTTTCTTAATTAATTCATTCAAAAATATTTACAGACCATTTATACTCTTTTTTAATTAGCCCGGTATGCGGCTATGTTTGGAGAATTCCTTTTCATTCAAAATTTGAAGTTATGAAAGGAGAATGAAATCCTAAGTTTCTTTGTCAATTATATTTTTATAGAAAAATGAGGTTTTTTAAATTGATTTTTTTATTTTATATTGAAACAATAAATAATTTTTTCCTATAAAAGGAAAAATAAATAAACCTAAAATATGCATTTCTCACTTCTTAGACGGTAAATTCTAAAAAAGATGATGCCTTTCTTGATTTTTTTAAAAAACTAATTAAGATGTGTTTCATTCTCTAAGAGCATATATATATATATATATATATATATCATTGAACTCGGGATTCAATGCACCTTGGCTTGATGTGGGTGTAAAAAAAAAAAAGCAATATATTGTTGATCTGCTTTTACTTAATCAAAATCTAATTGATTTTGATTAAAATTAAACAACATTATTATAACTTTTTTAAAAAATAATTATTTAGATTAACTCATCTAACCTTGTAGGATCATGCACTTTATTTTTAAGTTAAATTTCCTAATTGAAAAAAAAAAAAACACATCTAGCCCTTTAAACTTTGTGCGCAAATCTTACAAGATTTTGTAATAATAAAGACTTCCAACTTTCCTTCAAAATCATCCTAACATGATACATTCAAAAAATAATAAATAAAAGCCAATCATACATGATATATAGTTTGGAGTGATCAAGCTGTTTATATATTTTAAAATTATTTATTTTTGTGTTTTAAAAATATTTTTTAAAAATTAATATTTTTATTTTTTTAATTTAAATTAATATTTTTTTTAATATTTTAATATCATTTTAATGCATTAATATAAAAAATATTATTTTAATATAATACAAAACAAAATATATTTTAAAAAATAACCACTATTATATTTTCAAATAACTACCTAGTCCATGAACTGCCAAAGTTTCGGGTACAAGCTCATGTGAGCACCTCCCGTTTGTTCCTAGATGGTCATACATTGCAGGCTCGTCGGAAAACCTATATTAGATTGTTTCCCGTCTTCAACCATTTCCAAGCCATCTTCTCCTCTGGCCCAAACGTGTCATTTGCAGGGATGCCTGACTTGCCGATCCATCCAGCAAGATCCCATGATAGCAAAAACCCCATTCCTGACATGAAATCCTCAAAGGGACTCGTGCTGATAAATAGATGAGGACAGGCAGATGAAGGGAAGACGTGGGGGTGAAATACATGGTTTGCTCAATCATGTTTCGGCTGGCAGCCAAGTATTCGAGGAGCCATTGTTCTTGAAGCCATGCTTTCCTCGTTAGAAGAAAGTATCATGAGCTATCTTAATATGTCTGCTCCCTTTAAGTGTAGCTATAATATTGCCAATGTTATGAATAAATATGACAATTAACACTGTAAAAATAAAATATTTATAGAATAATATTATTTGAATTTTTTTAATAAAATAGTATATTTTTACCTTGTCGTCATGTTTCATAATAATGATGTCTAGTAATATTGTGTTTTTAAAGTACAACAAAGTAAAAATACAATTATTTAACTCAAGTAGTTAGGTGATTCTTAATGGTTACATAAACTTTTATAATATTTAAGTCTAATGCAATAATTATATAAAAAATAATAGTAATTTTGATTTGTTATTTTAGTTTAATATGATTAAATTTTGTTTGAATCTAAACCAGTTTCATTCGTCCATAAATCATGATTTTTATGCGAAATAGTTAATTGATGTTATTAATCATTACAAATTAGTATACTAATTGGGCCAGATAATTAAATTTTAATTAAATTTTCACCTTGTTATGCTTCTAAAACGGGAGAAATGAAAATATGTTCATAAAAAAAAAAATTAAACCGTATTCCATCAACGTTTTGTGTTTCCTGCGCTAATTTGAAAGAGAAAAAAAAACCCAATGTTCTATTGATTTTTAGATGATTGATTCAATTTAATGTTTTGTATTCAAAATTAACCATACCACTGCTGGGGAAAGCAGTTGAGATCCTCGGTTATTTTACTCGGCAAGCAGGTAAAAAATGATCTTGCCGAATAATTTGAACCTTCAATGTGTCCTAATTAGATCCGATCCGACGAGAAAGGACCCCAACATCAATTTTAAAATAATATTGTTTTGAGTAAAAAATTTATGTAAAAAATATTCTTTAAAATCAACTCAATAAATCTCGTGAAGCTTCACCGAATCAATCAAATAACGTATGAATAACTCGAATTTAGTTGAATTAATGTTCAAACCTGAACTAGATTTGGTAGTATACCAGTACCAGTTTGGAAAGAGAGAGAGAGAGAGAGCGCATCAGCTAGAAGAAATCAAATCATTGAAAGAAAGAAGGAAAAAACATTCTGATGGCGTCATGTTGAGAGAGGGGGGACAAAACCCATTTACATTCCTGAATTGACTACAAACACAGTCAACCCAACCCAATCCGAACACTAGACAGCTTTGATCTTGCACTTCCTCCTCGATATTTACAGGCAGAATAGCCAATCCTAGAGGTAGATTCTGTACTGATGGATGCCACCTTGAGAGGAAAACGGGGCTCCACTCACCTACACAACACAAAAACGAAATCCTCATCAGGTGCTGATAGACGCCCATCACTGCCATTTCTCACTTCCAGTCACAGGCATGGAAATACGCTCCTCCTTTATATGCTTAGCATTTGTTTCCTACTTAATTATATGATAATAGCTCATTTAACAAACAGGGAAAGTATCAAATTCTTCTGGGATAGGAGGCTATCAGCCAGATCTCACCCCAAATTCATAGCAATTCCTTACTCTGCTCGTGCAGAAAGTGACACCACATGACGGAGCATCAAGTGCAACTGCTAGAAGGCACCTCCAGCAATTGCCATGACTGCCATGATTGCGGGTCCGGATAGTTTTGATCGAAACTGCTATATGAAGTGACCAACGTAGACTGCCTCGCTTTGATGAGATAGAAGATTTAGCATGTCTGGTAGTTTTTATAGTTGCGAGTAGAAAAATATAAATTTTAAAAAACCTATAAAATCATAGCTTTTTCTTGATCAAGATTTCAAGAAACTATAATGGACAAAACACCTCACCAAACCACATCACAAAAACAAATGAAGCCTTAGGCGAGATATATGAAAATCGATTTGCAAACCGCAAAACCAACTGAAAATAACTAGGAACGAGCATGTTGATATTTGCTGGGAGCCGAAATTGGATTCTCATTACTACCATTCTGCTATGATATGATTGTTCAAAATATACAGGTTAGAACTATAGCCAAAGCCTGTTTGCTAAACCCAATCATTAATAGAAGTGGAATATTAACCTCTAATTGCACTCGATTCTGAGAAATTTGCTAAAACAGAACGCTAGACCGATGATTGACAATGTTTGTTGACATCGTTACAATATCTGAAGTGCCCTGATTGCCTTTCAGAAAAAACACAAAGTGGTAACAGTCCTCAAAAGCTGTTTGCAACCAAAGATACTAAGGTTTTGCCTCTCCTTACATTCCTCTCTCACACGCATAAGAGATAAAGGAAGAACTGGATACTAAGAAATACCCAGTGAACTAGAATGACTGCTAGCTAATTGGGTTGAGCGCAGGAAGATTTCCAATGACAGCTGATGAAATTGAGTCCTCGTAAAGAATGTCTAAAAACCAACAAGGATTTTAGCAGCTTCCAGGCTGTTGCATTTATGTTCCTGTCCAAGAGCCAAGGGATGGTCTTGATTCTTGAAATAGTGGGGATCTAATAAAATCTATAACAATCTCAATTAAAGATGAACACAGATCAATACAGACATTTCTTGCAAAATCTGTCGCTTATCCCTTTTTGATTGTACTTACGAGGCTCTAAAGTAGTTTGCTCTCCACTGTACTAAGTTCATTTCATAAGCTAAAACAGAATCGAATACTTAACAAGCTCTACCTAAATGTTTTTCTTTACATTAGAAAACCCTAAACTAATTAGTTTATGTTAGACTGAATCTGCAATCAAAAACAAGAAAAGTGGAGTGAAAAGAGAAGGGCTGATTCATCTTTAGTTAAGCTTTGTATCAAAATGTATATACTTTAGAGGACAAAGGATCTCCAGTCACTGACAATAATTCAGTTTTGTCTCTTTGCATATTTGGGGAGGGAAACTTTTGAAAAACTAAAAACTCTAATTTTGTCGTGCGAAACCAGTAGAAACAATTTTCCAATTAACAGCCCTATAAATTAATTTAAGTGGGACAGATGCAACATTTTCAGACCTAACAAAATTGACCCAATATGCATTCCCAATTTGATTAATTCATTTAGCTATCACAAACGCAGTAGTGTTGTTTAATGCTCGGAATTGACTGTAATAGTAGTAGTAAGATTACCAATACAGAATATCTAACCGAAACGGAACATATCTGTGGAGCGTGAGTTTTCATTTTTGATGCCTGCTTTGACACTTATTGACCTTACATTTACCTAGGTAGTTTATGCAGTTCCTTATCCTTGAAACCATACAAGTTTCTACAACACGAACATGAACTAAGTTCCTCCTCGTGTGGCATTTTGTAGTTAATGGTTCATTTGAATGGATGCACTAGGTTCTTATTCTGTCAATGTCTGATGTAGAGGATGATACGGTTCATCCAACTCAGTTTGCATGGGCAAACAGTTAAAAAAATAAGTGTAAATGCCTATTTAAAGGTGAAAATGAGCTCCAATATATCAACTCTCATCATTTTTTATATCTATAAAAACTTCTGCGGCATACGTTATTGAGTGTATTGATTTCTAGGACCTTTCAACAAAATTAAGAATCATTTTAGGAAACATCCTTGGTAGACCATATTTCAGGAAATTCAATAGCAGATGTCTTAAATATTTATGTAAAACCAACTCTTACAAAGTACAATTACATCTCATGGTTACAATTAAGCAAATCCAACCTAAATTTTGGTAACATATGAAAAGTTGATGAAAAAGAAAGAGCTACACGGTGTCAGAGAAATATAAGCTTAGATAATAGAAATGCAAACAAAAAGGGCAGCATATGACCATAAAATAAAAGCATATAAAAAGAAACATGCATTTAAAACCACGAAAGCATAGCCATCTGTTCCGGCACTCAACATTAAGCATCAACAAACAAATGAATACATCTAATCAGCAAGAGAAAAAACTTGATAGCAGTAAAGATGAACGATGATACACAACATAATATAATACCATAATTGGTCATGCAAAGAGAGATTATAAGACAGGTCTGATAGAAATAAAAATGACATGCATGTCAACATTGAATGCATGGGGATTCAATGACTAACAGAATTTAAAGCATCAAAAGCATGAAGATATGTTACAGTGCGCAGAAACTGCAAAGCACCAAAAGAGCAGAGTTGATTGTCATGTTCCGTAAGCTAAAAGGCGCAATCCTAAGCAAAAAGGGCATCCAAAGAAGTAGAATGCTTGGATTCAACCTCTTTAAACAGCTGCCCATTCAGTTAATCTCATAATAAAAAATATTGTTCCTAATTTCATTACCAATGCCACTGATTGCGAAGTGGACATTATAACCCTCCACCAACATCACCCTCATTTTGCTGCATTATCATTTCCAAGGCATGGTTCAAAATAGAATAAGCAATCTGCTGTCATCATTGCTGCTACGTTACAAGCAAACCTTCTGTCCATAAACTGCAGACATGACCCACAAATGACTAGGAGACAAAAACATCCCTTCCACCTCAAATCCCCATGCATTACAGCATGAAGTTGATTAATCCTATTTCTAAGCTTATAATTCAGTCCCATAAAATTTAACCTTAAATCTATTATGTGCCTGATTTAATGCTGCATCAAGCACTAACAGATTGTCTTTAAGAAAAAAATGATGCTTGCTCTTCAAACTATGATACATTTAAAAGATCGTAATGGAATGTGATTGCACTGTAGTGGAGAGACGAATATGTTCCTCTCCATTAAATTGCATTCATTATTTGGTACCAAACATTACCTTGAAGACAAGAATAGATTCTCATTTTTTTTCCTTTGGCTGCTACAATCAACGCTCGCTAGAGTAGAGAGGCAATTTTCTGGATTAGAATATAAAAATGAAATGAAACATGTCTACCAATCCCCAAAACTTAAAAAACAACTTCTATCAAGAGAAAACCAGTTTCAAGGTTATTTTACCCATTGAAAACAAGCTGAAGGCCATAGAAAATCAGCTTCAATGTTAATTTAAGCAAATAAAACAAGCTGAAAGCCAATATCCCAGAAGAGATGATGATTGAATTATCCGATAAAAAACAATTACAGTTACAGACCAAAACCAACCGATTCAACCTAAAACATACCACTGTTCCTTGAAAAATAACAGTCTTGAAAGAAACACTGTTGAAGCATAGTCAGCTCTCCAAATGCCAAACTGTAGCATATGATGCCAGCAATCATCTTCAGAAGACTATCTTCCACATCAAATCCCTTGTATCATTATTACCAAAAATAACTCCAAAAAACTAGTTCTAACTTGATCTAAAATTGTCCATTTCTTCCTGAATGAAATCCCTTATATCATCAATATCAAACAGAACTCCAATAATTAAGTCCCAACCCGATCTAAAGTAAGTCATCTCTTCCTGGGCACCTCACAGCAACTCAAGCTCTTCCAAACAGCCATGACAATTCTATTTCCCAACATCTAATGTTACCATCTTAAATGTAATGTACAAGACTACAAGCATGACGATTAATTTACTCATTTGCACATTGTTGTTTTCTATATCAGAGCAGACCCTCTATCAAATAACAATCATAGCAGATCTTGCATTCCAATGCTAATCTATCTAAAAAGGTTTTCAATGGATATGGGCAATTAAATTAAGGGAAAAAAAATACATGAAACAACACAATGTTCACTTTACTAGAGAAGATGCTGTACTATACCTGTGAGCCAAGATCATAGACAAATAATAGACACATTTAATCACTTGAACATTCAAACCACACTTACAGCTGCACTATCACTTTATTCTAAAAGGACCTAACAATTGAGTAAATTAAAAAGTCACAGCAGGAATAATTACCTTGATGAGAGCAAACTCATTGCTGATTTCCAGATCCGTGTGCAGCTGGGTTGGTAGCAGTCTTCTGCTGCTGCTGCTGCTGTATCTGGAGCAGGAGGTTGGCTGCAAACTGCAGAGTTGACTGATAGCGCTGATTCTTGTCAGCCTCAACCTCTGAGGTGCCCTGGCCAGATCCAGAAAGAGCAGGTTGGAATTGCTGCACTTGATTGGGGAGCTCCCAGTTCCCTCTGTCTGCAGATGGTGGGATCCCTGATTGGGTCTGAGAATAATTCGTTCCCTGAACCTGAAAACAAGATATCAGTATGATTAGGTTTCTGCATAATTGAAGGGCTACATGGCTCCAGAACATCTGTTCCATGGACCAACCCATGGCCCTTCTGAGTAGCTTGAGGGACTCTGAGCAGATTTTTCTGGCTGACCTGTGGAGACAAAGCAAATTGTCCACTTTGAGAAGGCATAGAAAAATTAGTCAATAGTCTGGATGAAGTTACACTCTGATGCGATAGGCTGGCAGTAGAATCTTGGATCTGATTGTTGCTAGGGACCACAGTTACTGAATGGCTATATGTGTTGGGGACAGATGGGTAAGGCTGGAACTGAGACTGAACCTGAACCTGAGAACTGAACTGGTTCCCCATTTGTAAATGACTTGCATTTCCAGAAACTTGATTATCATGCTTCCATCCCTGAGAGGAAATTCCTCTGTCAGGTGCAACTGAAGAAAATTGTGGCCTGACAATAGAAGAGCCCAATGCTGGTTGATTACTTTCTGAACTAGATGACTGCTTATTAGTGGGCAATAAAGTTGCAAGAGTAGCAATAAGCTCAGGTGTCAAAACTCCCGCAGTGGATGGTCCTGCACTAAGATTTGGCGCATACTCTTGGGGAACTGGTGGCACTGCAATGGACTCTGTTGTCGAAGGATAAAATGATTTTGGATGAAGCTTTGAATCCTCATGCAAAAACCTGTTATGATGGATTGGCATTACTCGCTCCTCCCCCTGACGGAGCTGATTGTAGTCAGCTTCTGGTGGTGGAATCTGACTGTCTGTATACTGAGAAAAATGGATGGGCTGAGGCAATTGTTCCTGAATTGATGTGTTGCTAGGGACCTGTTGTGGCAACTTGAGAACTACACCATACAAGCGTTCAGGTCCTGCAACTTTCAACACATTCTTTAAGAAATCAGATGGGGGCACAAGAAATAGAGTGGTCCCGTCATCAAACTTTGCTACACCAGCCCGATTCTTCAAACCCAAATAACGCAGAAATTCTGTATAGGAAGCAAAATCTTCTTCACTATCCGGCAAGAAGAAGACAATGTCAAACCCAATTGCCTCAGCATAGTGTTTAGCCAGCATATCCAGCCCTGTTCTTGCTGAGCAATTTATGACATGAGGTCTGCAAAGTAGGAAGATTACATGTTAGGATGTGAAAAGGAGGTTATTGCTGAAGCGCTTGATGGAAAAGGTGAAATGCTAGTGAGAACAGAGCCATTATTGAGTGACATCATCCATTGAAAGCTGAGTTTGAAGCCAGAGAAGAATTGGAATTTATCAGGAAGGAGTTGGTCAAGAATGTTGCATGTCAAAGAGTTAACTAAAGAATATTTATGATGCAAAATGATGTTTCAGCAGCGAACAACAGCTGGAGATTTAATGGTGATAGAAAAAAGGCATTATGAGCAACTTTATGCAGATAATTAAGGCGAGCAGCTTTTGTAAAATTTCAAGGAAATTTGGCAAGCCAACCCAGCCATGTGTCTCGGCTTCTAGAACGAGCAGAAACAAATAATTATGTATTGGTGAAACTATTCCATGTAAGAACACATGTGCTATAGGTAAACAAAATTACATACAGGCTACAACATTTAAATGGGTGTGATATGCAAAACGCAAAGACAAAAAAGTGCTAAGAGCAAATTTCATACTCACATCTCTGATTCTATCCCTTTACCTACTGGGACACAACGGGCATGGCATACAGGCGTTCCACCCTTGGCCACAATCCCACGCCATATGAAATCATTATCAAAATGACCCTTAAACCTACCACCAACTGGACTAAGACTACTATTCCCCTGGAGACTTGGATATGCACCTCTAGGACCTAGCCCATATGATTTGTCCAACCCCAGATCACGATCATCCATCTTTCTAGCTGGAAAAGAATCATCATCAATAGATGGTGCAGCATCAATCCTTGATCGCTTGGCCTCCCTAGGAAACTGGCTGGGATCAAGCACATCCCAACCACTAGAAACCGACCTCATGGATGGCCTAATACTAGAAGCAGGAGAAGGAAGGATCCCAGATGCAGGATCTCGAGTGCTATGAGATGGAGCTAAATCGTTAAACTCTCCACCTTGAAGTAAAGTGTCAAAAACACCTTGAGGACCAAAAGGCCTTACTGGCAGGTTAGGTCTATGAATGCCACTAGGTGGAAATGGACCACTGAAATTTCCTGGCCCCCCAGGTTGATCGAACATGACATCCATGGGTGTAAAAGGATGTTCATTAAACATCTCTGGCCGTGGACCTTTAACTCCAGGATAAAAACTAGAGTATTCTTTCCCAGGTGCCAGCCCACTACTTGAGAACATAATTGTGATACGAGGATCATTGAAAAGCCGCCCTTGCAGGCCTTCTTTAGCACGCCGGGCTTCATCAACACTCCTAAATTCGACAAATGAATAATGCCTTGAAGGAAAGCTTTTGATTCTCTCAATCTCGCCAAAAAGAATCATGGCATTATGCAGCATTTGTTCATCAATCCGCACAGAAGGAGGATAGCCTACCCACAAAATATTACTGGGTTGACCATCCTTTCGTCCTCCCAAAGACTGAGGTAGCTGCAACATGAAAAATGAAAATTCAAAATATAATCCAGAGGGACAGACTACCGTCAAACAAATTTTGGCTCAACTAAGCCAATTTAAACATTACTAGCCAACTAAAAATCTTTTCAAATATCATTACGTGAAGCCCAAGTTTCTCCCACAAAATCATTGAACAGGTCTAGGCTTACTGTTTTAGTTTGCAGTATAAGTTTCTTAAGGTTGTGAAATGAGTAAAAGGGTATACAACCAGCAGACATATAATAACTTAACATGCATGATTAAGGACATCAGAAATGAGAGAGTTAAGGTTGTTCATGATTTATCACCTGAGGTCGTCTAACTCCATATTGTGTTGCTGAAAACTGATCCTCTCTTGAATCAAGAAAGTCAGGTAACTGTTCCTGAAGACGGTAAACAAAATGTCAGCTATGTTTATACAAATGAATAAAAGGGAAAAATAAAAAAATACTAAAGCATATTGAATCCATTTGAAAAAAAGCAATCAGGTATATGAATTAAAGTGATGGGTGTCATAGGAGGTCAGGCACAGTTAATACTTCACTGGAATTAGTTTAAACACAAATCATTGCTCTAGCTGGCATCAAAATACAAGATAAATTCATAACAAAAGCCGGAGAAATTTGTTATCAGGAAATATGTTATCAAGAAAATGCTGAAATTTGTTATCATTCAGAATTTTCAACAAACTCTAGTTTGTTTATATAATGGAAGCTCTATCAGTGATGATTGCCCTCAGCACAAACATATGTATATGCTCGTCCAAAAGATATCAACTTACTCTTCTTGTGGATTGTGATCGAAGAAAATCCACACGAATCTGATCACCACCAATTTTCTTTCCATTCATGTTTTTCATTGCTTCAAAAGCATCTTCCAGTTTCAAATACTCAACATATGCAATCTTTCGATCTCTAAGAAACTTAAAATCCTCGATTTTACCAAACTTAAGAAACTCTTCTTCCAGCCGTTCCTCAGAAACTGATGAGCTTATTCCACCCACCCACAGATACTTGCTAGGTTTGGCCTGGAAAAGAGAGGGAGGGTTAAGAATAGAAAAGGAAGAAGCTCAAGCGACACACGTTCTCGTGGGAAAAAAGATGTTGCCGGTATTACCACTTTCTGAATTTTTAAAACATAGAAAATGCATCAATAACAACTAAGAAGAAAAGAAAAATATTGATACATCATATGAATTCTACAGATCTATAAAAGGGCAACCTTAGCATTGAACAACTTGTTTATAGCACTTACAATTTTAATATTTTCAAGTACTATCACAAAAATAACTTCATACTGACCAACTTGTCAAATTTCCATTATAAGAGTGCTACAGAAAACAGTCAGATTCTAGAAAACTTGCCACCGTACAATCACTGAGTTAAAACATTAGCATAATAAAAAAAATCACTATTAATATCAACAAGGATAGTCCCTTGGTAAGAAAAGGTTATGTTATGTTTCTTTCTGCAAGTCTTCCAGGTTGATAGCCATGAAACAAACGATTGCCTTCAGACAAAGTAACTCCATTTTCTTTCCTTTTTCCTTGCCATAATGAATGAAGACTCTGATCTTTAAAAGACGATCTACCATACATGCTTCAACATTATGAATCGATTAGTAATTGTCTTTGAACTTCCTCTAATATGAAGTCATATTGAATAGTTCGCTTTTGGAAGTTTTATCACCAATAAACCAAATTTCTAATTGGAATATTTTGAAGGCTTAGATGGTACAGTATCCATCATGCAAAGCAATTGATTATACAATTTAGCTAATAATCCTAAACTATTCACGAGGTCAAATTGTATACTTCGTCAAATTCCAGAGATAAACTATAAACGATCTTTAATTTATTTGCTTGTTAGGAGTTATCTTCTTACTCATACAGTTAAAACTATTGCATGTACCCAGGTGACTACATTTCAAAGTAAACTTGATATTTAGGTTAAGGATCTAAACGGGGCTTTCCCTAGGCATCCAATATTCAGCAGCCCGCGATTTTGGTTATCCATCTTTCCTGAATTTGCAGAAATGATGACTAGTCGCTCCCACCCAGTCGACACACGATTATGACCTCAAGGGCGTATGTAAAGTGATAATATTAATTTATGCACGTCTTGGAATGGCAAATTCACGTTTGGAGGTTTGATAAGTTTCCAGGAAATTGTCCCTTTTCTTTAACCTTCCTCTTGATTATTTTAGTATACTCAATAATCGTGGTAAAGCTCTATCATCTAACTAGCAACGCAAAATATTTATCATGTGAAGGAAGGAAAAACCGCAGACCCTATTGGGATTTGAGTATTAGGAAGCTTGTGCGCAGAAATATATTTGACAAATAATTGGCTATCTTATAGTAATTTCACGAAATCCATTGAATTGACTGACTGCCTATTGGATTTAGATTGGCAGCCATTGACACTACCGTCAATTATGAATTGACATTCATTGACGAATCCAATGGTTAGGAAAGAGAATTGGGCAATAGAGAATTCATTTTCCTTCTCTATTTCTTGGTTACGGAGAAAATAATGGGAAGTTGATGATTATTGGAATGGGATACGAATTTTTTCCAGCAAGAAGACGAGGGACTACAACTCCGTGGATATGAAATTATTGTTTGAATGCATCGGAAATCGGCTGCGAGTACAACTTGATATGCCTAATAATGAAATACGAGATAATTTTCCATTGGAATATCAATGTACAAATTGAAAATTGAACCCCAAAATGGTTTGAGAAAATGATTTGAAGGTCTTTTTAAAAATACATATATATATATGTTTTATTCTCTTTAACTCCTTTGTCAAATGTTATTGCCCAGTTAAAAAAAAAAAGTTTTTTTAATTTCAAATTAACCAAAATCTCCTCTCCAAATCACTTAAAAACCCAATCTTAATTGAGTGTTTCGATTTCAATTTTGAAAAAAAAAAAAGGCTCGCACGTTGAATCAAAACGCACAAATTCGCAAATCCTCTCTATTTATATTAAAATTTAGAAAGGATTGAATTTTTTTCCCGATCGGGGAAGGAAAAGGGGGTTTTTTTGTGGTTAATTCTGTTATCATCATCACCACACAGACGCAAATAAATAATATTACACAACAAATCAATCATCAAATTCAACCCAAAATCCACAAAGCCATCATTAGTAAAACCCAAAATCAAATCAAAATTTTGAAAAATGATGATAGTAATAAGATGAAAAGAACAACAAACCGGTCTAGCAAACTCGATTTTAATCTGATTTCCACGAAGAGAGCTCCCTTGCAAGGCATCTTTAGCTTGTTTAGCATCTTCAACATGTTTAAAGTACACAAACGCATAACTTCTTGCTGAATACGTCGTTACACTATCAAGCGCACCGAATTGCGCGAACAACTCCATTAGATCTGAATCTGCTACTTCTCTCGATATATTCCCTACCCATAGATTGTTCGATTCTTTGACTTCCGCTGAATTCTGTTGGTCTGTCTCTGATTTTAGCGTTCCTGCCTTGTTCGATTTCATTGGCGGCGGCGCCATTAGAGAGTTTGTTAGAAAATTAGGGTTTTGACGATTTTGAATAAAATTAATTTGGGGAATTTTTTTAAAGAAGGGAAGGTGATGATGACGGGTGGCTATTATTTATAGGAGGCGTGAGGTTGGGTAACGGTTTGTCGTTTTGGGGTTTGTTGTTGGGTTAAATTGTGAATAATTTCAAGAGTTTTTTTTGTCCTTCTTTTTTGATATTTTAAGGGTAATAAGATGTATTTTTTCTATTTTTTATTTTTTTGGGAGTGTGTTATTTTTTAAATTTTAATTTATTTTTAAAAGTATATTTATTTTAAAAAATAATTAAATTAATATTTTTTTAGACTTTTATAACTATTTTAATATGATAATGTTAAAAATAAAAAATATTCAAAAAATTATTTTTATATATATTTAAGTGATAAATATTAAAAAAAAAACACTTGTATCACAATATTAAACATTCTAATTAATTTATCATTTGACTTGAAACTTTAACATTATATTTTAGTTAAAAAAAAAAGAAGAAGTACGAGTTACTTAATGTTATTCTTAAGAATAAAAAGTTATGAAAAATAATTTTTAAAATGTGAGTTATTGGACCATTTAAAAGAAAAAAAATGGTAAGTCTTTTTAATTTTTTTTTATTTGGGTATTCTCATACTTTTTTGAAAGGGTGAAACTAATCCCTTTCGAGATTCATAGTTGTTCTTTTCAATAAATATACTTTTTAGTAATTGTATTTTTATTTTTATCCTTGCAAGATATAGCAGTGCTTTAATTTCTAAATCAATACTTTGGTTAAGTCCACATATATGTATTTTTAAAGATTTTTTTATATTTATAATTTGCGTTTTTATTTTATAATGATTTTGGTAAAAATAGGATTGGTGAAGAACAATGTCCAAATCTGCAAAGTGCTTTTAACACATTTTTTTCTATAATATTACAACGGGCTGGTATTGTTTTTCTCAAAGATTTCCTTCTATTAACTTTATTTAAAAGCGATCTAGTATTAGATCTTGTTTCGTATAAGCCAAAGTATCTAGAGGAATACTTTTGCTAGAAGATTACTAAATTCCACACCCAAATAAATTCTTGATAATTAATTTTTGTAATTCATTTGATAAAAAGGCCCATGTTTATTATAAATTTTATTTTTTTTAAAAAAATTATTTTTAAATTATTTTGATGTATTAATATTAAAAATAAATATTTTTAAAATAATAAAAACAATACATTTTTAAATAATAAAATATTTTAAAAAATAACTGTTTATCAATAATCTCTTTAATCTTGTCTAAAAGCAAGGTTCAAATAATCTTTTGAAAATTCACACAATAAAAGATTAAAAAATAAATAACAGAACATATATTAGAACATATATTGTAAGTATAAAAATATGGTATATATTCATTATTTTTATTAAAATTGCATAGTTCTATTATTTTTTAAAAAACTCCTTTTTTATTAACCTAATTGAATTCAAACTAAATTTTATCAAGTTAACTAAATCATTAAAAATTCTATCAGATTAAATAATTTTTATTAAATTTTTATTTTTCTAATTTAACTTAAAATTAATTCAAGTTAAGCTTCATCACGAGTTTTCCAATTCAACACCGTTAAGCAAAAATTCAAATGCAAATCTATCCATGATCATATCTGAACATTTTCTTTCTAGTATTTCACAAGAGTCACAGTAATGTTATCAGTAAGTATATCTGCCATTGTATGTCCTTCTGAAACTAGCAAAAAGGACATGACTTGTAATTAAGTTTTATTTCAAACTAGAATTAACATAGTTATAAAGCATAACTCCACGAGCAAACTTGATAATTTGTTATTTTAAAGTCTAGTCTAAATTGAGTTTTATTCCAAACTAGATATATTTTTTTATTAAAATAATATATGTTATTTTTGTATAAAAAAAATTAAAATAACCTATCAATTTATAAATTAACTTTATTAATCTACAACTAGGATCTTAGAACGAGTTAAATCTTAAATTTAATCTTAAAAATGAGAGAAATAGCACTAATATGTGTTTGATATTATAGTATATAATATTTTTTTAAAATTTTTTTAATTAAGAATAGTGGATATTTTTTAATTTTAACACATTAAAACTATTTAAAAAATATCACTTAAGTAGAAAAAAATTTGAAAAAATAAAACTAACCTGTACAAAACAAGCAAGCCCCGGTCCCAAGCTTGAAGGGCATGCTGTTGGTTCAGTTTTCAAGAATACATGCAGGGGCAGAGCAGATAAGGTTACTTCAAGACTGCCTCTATCAACTTCTTGGACATGGTGCCATTATGCTTAACGGGAGAAGGGAACAATGTTTGGTTTTTGATCTGTTTGATCAACCCACCCATTCTTTCACCTCTGATTTTCAAAAAAATTGTTTTTTTTTCCTTTTAAATTAATCTATATTTTTTAACTTTAATTTTAAATAGTGACGACCAAGTTTTTAACTCTCGTCTTGACACGCCATTTTCTGTGAAGTTTTCTATTCAAAGAACACTGACCAAAGAGATAATTCAGCTCTCCATCTTTAAACAAGAGCAAGGAAAAGCACTTGCTGACTGATAAAGACAAAGCACTTGCTGACTGATAAATTGCTGACTGATAAAGACAAAGCACTTGCCAAGCCTAACTTTAGTCAAACAGTAGTAAGTGTTTTACACCATCTCATGAACCAGAAAGAGAAATGAATACCTTCATGCAATATTTTCAAAGCAAAAAAATGCTGAACCAGTACAAAATTAAACCAATCTTTCGAATAGAAGAAAGCATTTGTTACTGGCAACTGGATTTGCTGTTTCTCGTGGTTAAAGAATCCAAAGGGAATTCAAGATATCAAAACTCTAGATAAAAGAACATATTGGCAGAGAATAATACATGGCGGGGTCACCTATCCTATAGACAAGCAGATATAATCTTGCAAGTGATCTTAAAAATTGTCCTTTGCTTGGCGGATAACGCCTAACGCTTCTGAATCATTTGCCGTTGCTGGAATATTTAAGGTATGCCGGATTGCTGTGCTTGAAGCGCGAAGGAAAGGATTACAAGCCTTTTCAACCTTTAACTTGGTTGGAATCTGACGAGACAGAAAAATTCACCCTCAATGTGGATCTTTAGGAAGACAAAACTTAAAGTTAAATGATAAGAGGAGAAAATAAAAACACACACAGGACAGACAAATTAAATCAAGTCCACAATCATTATGCAGATTGATAGTGGCAAAGCAAGCACTTCAACTTTTACTGAAACTGATCACCATTTCAAGGCATACAAACATGAGGAAGCTTGTGTGATTCTACATAGTTAACCGCTTGACAAATAGCCAGTGCCAGGCAGGAAATCTAAGGGCGTATAACTTTAAGTGCTTCTATAAAGCCAAAGAAGGCATGTGCTGTTGAACAGTGGTGAGCATTGCAAAAGAGAAATTAACTTCAAAATTGGATAATTGCATGACATGCAACTGAAATTGGTGCGCATATATTTTCTATCAAAAAGCAAGATACCTTTCAAAAGTCAATTTCAGTTTAAAAAATCAAAAGCTCAATCATGGATAGGAATGCCAACATAGTGAAGAGCTCCATGAGGGTTCAAGACCAAAGACTCATAAGAGGCACAAATCATAAAATCATTTCCTTTCTAGATTAAAAAAAAAATCAGAAAATCTGGCGGCACATCACTTAGTTGCTAATTCTCCTGGCCTCATACTAGACACAAGATAGAGAGGCCTGCTCTCATTGTGAACTCAAGGTAGGGTAGGGGGTGGGGGAGTTGGGGTTCAGGGAGTGGAGCGAAGGCTTCCCTCATCACAGTAGCCAGTCATTGGCCAGGTATTCAATAAAGTAGGAAGGCTTAAGACTCACAGTTGGTAAACTCTTGCTGCGAAGATGTGCCACATGGGCTGCATAGGACTGGAGTGCCTCATTATTTGGATCTATGGACAGTGCAAACTTCGAATTACTCTGTCAAAAAACATGCATCATGGTTAGGGCATTTAACTTTGATCTTCAGTAGATAAAACAAGAAGAATATGGAAAACAAATATATAGGTGACCAACCAACGTATATTCATGACCGCAATATATATTTGTATCATCTGGCAGTGACATGATTTTCCTGAGGGATGAAAGCATCTGCAACAAAGAAAATCAGATGCTATAGTATTCAATCATCATGAAATCAGGCAACTAGCTTCTTATCAAATATGCTCTTTTGGTTAAGAGAGGCCTGCTGGGCTTTGGACTACAGTTGGGGGGGAGGGGTAATTCTATCTCATCTGCCAATGTTTCGCTCATTCATTTCAATATTTGACAACAGGACTGTCCGCTTGTGACTATAAAAGATTCCATCCAAACATCCAGCTTGCAAAGTAACAAAAATAAATAAATATTTTTTCAGGAGGCTTTATAAACACAGAATTTTATGTTTTTTTGTGGTGGTAGCTTGATAAAATTTTCAACTTTCAAGTTCAGAAAACATGTATCATTTAACAATTCATTACTCTTCTAGTTAAAAAGATGAAGTGATATTTTAAAGAATCGTTTCACATTGAGGATTCAAGCGCTGAAACTTTGTCTAAATAGTAAGGCTCAATCCAATATATTCATCTCAATATTGCATCATCAGATATTATTTCCAACCTCAAAATTATAGCAGAGTGAAGAATGCATGTCATGAATTACCTGCTCAGGTGTTCCTTCAAAAAGCTTGCCACATGACAGACTAAATAAAGTGTCCCCTGCAAAAATTGCCCCCGAACCAGGAAAGTAGAAACTTACATGGCCTGCAATTAAATGAATGCTGAATGTCAAGACAACTATTGACTCATTAGCTGCATAACCATAAAGCCTTGTACTCTTTACTAAACCCAAAACCCGCAAGATAAGCCAGCAAATATCCAACCATCCCACTTGAAAATACCCAGATTTTCCATGTAAGCAATCACTAGAAAGAATGAGGACACAACAGACAATTTAACCAACAAAATTGCTACATTTTCTTTCGTTGGTTTAGCTGAAACAACAAAAATTGTTTGTTTGCTTCATTTTTTGTATTGAATACATACCACATG